GTAGTCTGCATATACGGACACGGCGTGAGATGTGCTGCCATGCGCTGTCTTTGCACGTCCGGGACAACCATGCAACAGTGCGCTACTCACTGTCAAGGTGCTTGACGGGCATGGTGGACGACGAGGGAGAGGTGTTTTGCGTTGTACAGAGGTTGGTGGACAACGTCTAGCTCGACGACCAGCGTGCAACGGCGGGCTTACGTAATTCAATAGCCTCGAGCGTCCAACCGCTTCAAACTTGCAAGTTCGACTGACTACACTACATATGTATCTCTCATGCTGAGCTCACTGTCTCTGACGATGACAACGTTGGCTTGCTCATTGAGCTGCGCGTCGTTGACCGATGCGTGACGTCTTCGCTGGTCCGCCGACGAATCACAAGTCACCCAAATGTAGAAGCCACAAGCAGCTGGGGATCTCACTCGTCCGTTCCTCCGAGATGGTTTGACGGGTAGCAACGCGGAGACAATAAACAAGAATACGCATGCCCATATGCGCCCAGAATCGCTGGCTGGCCACTCGTTCTATTTCGCGATATGCAAGCTTGGCCCTTAGGGTTGCTATACCTGCGTGCTCGTGGGAACGGTACGTGTGCAAGCATACCTTCCCGTCTCTCCTCGTTCTCACCGAACGCCATGCATGGCCGTGTTTGATCAGGTTCCTTGCCAGCGAACGTTGAGCGATGGCTCGAACCCCTCGCGGTATTTGCGAATTACGTGCTGATGCGGCCCCACCGACATATGTATGCGCGGCATGCTCTCGCCTCCGTCCCGGCACTGCGGAGTTGAGATGTATCCGGACTCCGGAGGGTGAGCTGTCCGCTGCGAGTACTACCACACGGACATGGCCCGTTTCGGGTCTGCGAGCTTCGTGTCGGAACCGAGAGCCCGTTATTCGTCACAAGAGGCACAGGGGAGAGGGCTATCTTTGATGTGCGGCTCGCGTTCTCACTGTCGGACATGGTGCGTACATAACTTTCCTGGGACCGCGCGCGACTGCAGGCACGTACTACATACGTCGGGCATAGCCCAGAATTGGTGGCAAGAAATCGTAGGAGTATCCTCGGCTGACGTTACCTTCCTCCGACACCACTCTGGGAGCTCCGGTGAGTGCGAAGTTCACCCAGGGTATCTGTGATTGTGGAAGGAATACACGTTATATGCTGGTCATGTTTTGGATGCATCATTTCACCAGGGTATGACCACCATGTAGTGACATCCTTCATTACTTCTTGCCTCCAGGGGTGACCTAGCTGCGATGGAACAATGCTGTCCCAAAATACCTCATGCCACCTTCGTGCACGTCGGAAGTTACTGCATGGGAAATTCCCCATCTCGCATCCGATGGAGGTATCAAGCGACCACAAGAAGCCAGCACGGCCTGGCGTTCTTGATCGTTTGAGGTTGACCTCCCTTTCTCACCACATGCTTTTGGGCACAATAAGTAATGCTTCCATGAACCTGGAGACCACTTCTATGCGTGCTGTGAGAACGATCTCGTTTGCTGGCGTCGCTTGCCAGTGTCCTCGTGTGGATTTTACTGATGCAACTTTAGTTTTCGGGGAAACGGTCGAGCTCCGAGCAATCAGAAGCCATCCATTCCGACTCCGTGTCCTCGATCGCGCAACTCCGACTCGCATGCACTCTAGGACTCCAAGGGAACGGGCGTCCAACGTACGAGGTCGCAACGCATTCGATGATCGCGAGAAACATTGTGCGTTGCAGTCCCATGCTTCACTGGCTCGTTGCGGTGGGAGAAAAACAGACCACGCTGTCCGGGCGAACCGATGATAACATGATCAACATGGGGCTGGATCGCTCTGAACTGTTGTGCCGTGCTCGAGGCAGGCAAATTACAGTAACCAAAATACCTCTACGCAACCATACTTACCGCTCCCATGTCACGTCTCGGGCTT